TAGTAGTGTTATTATTATTGTTATTGTAATATTGACAACAATGATGGAAGTGAAAATGAAATATATTTTCCCAAAAAGTAAAGGAATGGGGTAAATAAATGAGGTCAAATAATATTTGTAAAGGACTTCTTGGCAACTAAGCACTTATGGAGAAATATATGTGTAAAACCTATAATCGAGCAATATTATAGATAACAGTTCATGTACCAATATACACATAGCTACTCCGAGCATTGATAGCTTAGGAAATTGAATTTGAATGATAAGTGCTTAAAAGATAAATGGTGAGCATGCTGGTTTATTTCTGCATTGTTTTTATTTATGTGTGTTTTTGTTTTTGTTTTTTGTTTTGTGTAGTTCTCTTGTGTATAGGTATTGAGTATTTAAATAGTTGTTGTGTATGGAAGTGGTTGAAATCAGGGAAAAGTGATGCCTAAAGTTTTTGCCTTGCTGTTTTTTGCAACATAGAAGGGGAAGTATAGACAGGGAAGTGTCAGGTTTTACTTATTGTGGATCAAAATTAATTTCCTAGTATTTAGTCTTATACATTGATTTGGTTAGAAGGCCAATTGTTTCATATTAAAGTCATTTTAACCCAGTGCCGACGGGTAAAAATGTTTGGCAAGTGGACGTATGGATGGGCTTGTTGGCGCGCATCGGCAATTTCCCCTGTTTACTCCCGGCTCGATCGGTAGTTTGCGTGCGACATTTAGCACCTAAAAGCTTTTATTTTGCTATAATTTATTAAAATATTTAAATTTTGAAGGTTTATCTTTATTATAGGTGCCATTGCCTAAAATCCTTACCATATAAATGAAGCCGCTACTATTGGAGAAAAACAAACTCCATCTGGCGAGCCAGTGGCGCGGGAATGGGCATGACACGATGCTACCTGTCTTTCGGTCCACAACAGGCATGGCATGTACGTACATGCCGCCCACTGGCTAGGGGTTAAGCAGGGAAAGGTCTTGCCTAAAATTTCAAAGCTTTTTCTTGCTAACTTAATAATTTTGCTTGCTTTCTCAAACGATCCCTGTAGATGGCTAGACTTTAGCTTGCTAAGTCAAGCGGTGTACCGTCACCATGGCAACAGCCTCAGTCGCTTACCTCACTGGTTACAATCCTTCGAATGTGGCCGTTGGCCAAGAACTGTTTAATATTTTATGAAAGAAATAATTTTTATGGTATCTGATTCTGTAATTTATATGAAATTTTATTCAAAGAAATAGAAAATAACTGAAAAAGAAAGGAGATAATGAAGATTATGGGAATGAAAAGTTTTTTCTAATAAGTCATAAATCATTATAAGACAAACATTTTATCTCTGACTTTTAAACTCCTTGTCTCTCCAAATTGAGAATATATCTACTATTTAATGAAATAGAGAATATTTTAAGTGAAATAGTCTGAAAAATTCTAGCAACATTCTTCTATTGATATTGAATTTGGTGACTATTCTTTTCAACCTCATAAAATCATATAGTTGGAAATGGGTAGACCTACATTTCAATTCAGTAATGTTCATTTGTTTTGATAGTGCCTGAGAGTGCAAGGGTTGTCAATTGGAAGTGCATGTCACTGTTTTAGGGGCTCAGTATATGTATATAGGAGAAAATATTGCGCTTATTAAAGAGATAGATTTAGGGTAGATTTATTTACTTCTCTGCCATCTTGATGCGGCGCTAGCCTGTCAGTTTTTAGAAATACGCGCTCCAGCTGTTACCAGTCACCAGTAAAATAAACTCCACCCTCAACTTATGCCTAAGATATCTCTCTCCAAGATTGTTGATAGGAATACTTTTCTATTGCGTTTAAAACCCGGGATATGTATATGTTGTGTATTATTTTGACATTTCCATACTCTCCAAGAACTGTTATGATTTGTACTTTATAGAAAGACACTTCCACATATCTGGCATCACTGAACAAGTCTTGCCTACTGATCCAAATGATTTAAGCAGGGAACGGTACAGTTTGTGGTTTATCGGCAAGAATTCTTGCCCAAGTGCTCCCCTCATGAGTTGTGTCTCCATTTTGTCCTTTATCATCTTATGCGCTTATGTAGAGTTTTAGGAGCTTTAAAATTGCACTTTGGTACAGACAATACCTTTTTAGTTTTTTGGCATGACAGGTATTAAAGTTTTAATTTTGCTTATTTCTGTCATTCATGTTAGGGACAAGTAATCAGGACAAGTAATAATATAAAATATTTTAGAAATATAGGGAAATATTATGTCATCATCAGATTTTAGATCTTGTAATGAAACTTTATATATTACTTGGTGCTTCTAAACCATAGTGAAATATTTTAAGTCCTACTTATGTATATATTCACTGATATTGTTGTGTACAGTTTTCTTTTTATGTAGCATTAATTTTCATAATTTTTATGCAAGTGATAGAAATATATTCTTTCATTGACTACTGTCAGGGCTAAACAAATGATATAATAGCAAATAGAAAGTTACATAATTATGTAGGACAACTGTGAGCATGGACGTTAGCAATTCTGCTATCATATGTGAATATAAGACCACCACGAGAGAGTGTGGCTATAGTGCAGGTGAATGAAGCGGATCTTGGCTTGTGGGTTTATTGCTGAAGGTAGATGTAAGACCCCAGTGGGATCCCCTGTCCCCCCGGATGCCAAGGGTGGAGTGGTGATGAGCTGGACCATATGTCTTGGTCTGTCGTCATCTCTGTCTCTCCATCTGACAGTGTGGAAGGTGCGAAACATTTGCTTCCTCTGGTGATGTAGACTCGAGAAGACTTTGACAAGAAGATACAGCCTTTGTTTCAACCAGGGACAGAGGTGTGGAACAATATTGTTTGCATTGCTCGGCCATGTGCAAGGCTTGTCCTCAAGCTGTCTGCAACATCTTGAGCACTGATGGTGTGTTAGGATACAAGTTTTGTTAGGCGTCAACAGATGGTTCCTGGTGATCTGATGCTTGCTCAGGTTGTCATGTGCCAGAGTAGCAGGTGTGATGGAGGCTTTTCAGTGAGGTGCAACATTCAGTAGCAAGGAGGGTCGCATTGACTTCAAAGGCTGAAATATTAAAGTACCAGGCCAGTAAAGGGGCTAAGGAGGAGGATAGTAACTTATTTGTCAGTAACCTTTCTAAGATTTCAGAAAAATGAGAGCATAACAAGAACAGTGTCACAGGAAAGGTCATGTTTCAAGTGAGAAGGTTTTAATTACTTGGCATTGTTAGGATTAGTAAGTTCAGTATAGTACCATCATAAAGAATTGAGAAAAATGAATGATCAAGACTTCCATGTCTTTGGGCTGAATAGGCAAGTACTTATGCTTCGGATACAAAAAGGTAGCTGAGCCTGAGCTTAATTCTAACAATGGCATCAATCATAACCATCCTCTTTGAAAATGCTTGTAACTTCTCATTGTGGTGGGGTGCAGATTTCTTCGCTTATGTCCATGAGCTAAGCTAGAAATAAACTTACAAGTACTTATGCTTTGTACACATTGGGCCAGCTGGGCCTGGACTTAATTCTAAATGTGCATATCTCGGGCATGTCAGTTGTATTTATTGTGTAAGCAAAATATGCATAACTTCTCGGTGTAGTGTTTGCAGCCTTGAGCTGTGCTTGAAATTGATATCTGCTGTGTATTGCCATTATTTGCAACAGAATGAGCTCCATCAGTTTTTTACATGTTACATATTCACTAGTAACTTAAAACTAAAGAAGCATAAATTATTACTGAGGACAAGATATCAAATTTCAAGATGACGTCATGAAAATGAGTTGGGTTTAGTTAGAAGTCAAGGGGATGGTGTGTAGTACAGTTCATAATCCTAGAGTTAATTCTGTATAGTGTGGTCTTGAAAATGGGTAAAGAGTAAAAGTAGGTAATCAACATGTGTGTGAGTAAGTGACGTTAGCATGATAAGTATTAGAAAAACAGGTATAAACACAGGCATTATGAAAGACATAATGATATTCACACTCAGAAGAAGGAGTAATGAAGTCCCTACTAGTAGTGATACAATATGCAGGTGAAAACTGTAATGTTACAATGAAAAGTAAAAATGAATAGTATAAGAGGATCAGCCGAACATTTCAATAGTTTAATAAACTTGCACATAGTCATTTGTGTGGAGAGAAAATAGAATATAATGAAATGTGCAGTGTGAGAACAACAATGATCATACAGAAAAAGAACACAAACACCATAATTTTACCAGTTAAAGAATTGTAAGGGCAGGAGAATGAAATGTGAGGTAATGAGGGTGTGTCACTTTAGTCTGGTGTCAGTGTGTTGTTAATTGTGTTGTTAAAACTGATTGACAGAGAGAAATTTTGTAATATAGAATTAATAGTGTGTGTTCGTTGAGAAAGAAGGCAACTCATATGTAAGGTTTGGGCAGGTGCAGGAATGGCAATAGTTAATCTTGTGCTAATAGATATACTTATTTTAATGATACTAAGGAAGTATTGGTGATGGAGGGTAGAACTGCAAACTTCATGGTTGTGCTGATGAAGGTTTGCGAAGAATTGGCAAGGCAAGTAGGCCACATTGGCGAGAGTGGCAATGTAGAGTGCGCAAATACATCTTCAGCTCCTTCGTCAGGAGGGTGGCATAGGCATGAGTGGTACTAATAGTAGGGCAGACATGGTGTGGGTAGGTGTGGATCAGGAGAGGATGTAGCGATGGCTGGGTGCTAAGGGACGTGAGGAAGCACTTCGTATCTTGGCACTGTTTAGTGCAGATAGGCAGCAGAAAGTTGGTGAATTATTCATCATCATCATCATCATCATCATCATCTTTATTATTATTATTATTATCATTATTATTATTATTATTTTTATTTTTTAAATTTTTTTATCATGTTTCTTCTCTGAAAGATATGACATGCTCTCTAGATTTAAAAAGTTAACTTGTGCAGTCCATGTATCATAGATTGTTGATTACAAATAGTCTAATTATTTGGTTGCCTAATTACCCAGTTACACAAAAGTTTTTCTTTATAAATGTCTTGCATTCAGTTTGTATACCATAATGAAGAACGATAAGTTTGAAAGCATGAATGGCTGAAAAAAATGTTAGATTCAAATTGAAAACTATTGGGAAATTTTTAGAATTATTATTATTATTATTATTTTTTTTTTTTTTTTTTTTTTTTTTTTTCATATAGACTTTGAGTACCTCAGGATGTGTTTTGCATGTGTAATTTATATATAGTAGTATTCCTGTATATTGATCTTGTTCAATCTTTTATGCTTTTTTTTTTTTTTTTAGAAACTATTTTCTGACCCTGTGGCTGTGGGTCAATACTCCAGTGAAGGAGTTCCATTAAAAATGTGTTGATTATTTTTTGTTAATTAACTGACTTTTTATTTCATGTATTTTTTATTTTTTGAAGGTCTTACTTTCTTCTATTAATATTTCTACATTAGTAGGTGATTGGCTTAACTGGTTGCCTGTAGTGACTGCATGTATTAGTTGAATTCTGTGTAATATTTTGTTTAGAATAGCTTTGAAAGAGTAATGCGATTGAGTAACGTTGCACTGAGAATCAAGTTCAATTTATATTTGAAATTTTGTTAATAACTGACATTAACTTGAATTTTTTTTATTCCATTGTTTTGATTCTAATGATACTGAGTTCCCTTCTTCAGATTTTTTTTTTGTGTGTGTGTGTGCATGTCCTCTAGTGCAATAGCTGTAATTATTTATTTCATATTGTTTTTCTGCAAATGTTTCATATGCTTTATATTTTTTTTTTTGCAGGTTTTTCATATGCAGTAGTTCCTGATGTATTTCCTTTATTGCAGACTATGTTGTAAATAATGGGAGGATGATAGAAAAAGAAGCAAGAACCAAATTCATGCAGATTGTTGCAGCTCTGCGCTATTGTCACAAACGTGGGATTGTCCACAGAGATCTCAAAGCTGAAAATTTACTCTTAGATAAAGATCTTAATATCAAGCTGGCAGGTGAGTAATAGTCTTCAAGTATCGTCTGCAGAAGTGAGGCATTTTATCTATTTATTTTGAAGACATTTATTAGACTTTTACTTTGTACAAAAGCAGGTGACTTTTTATCTGTATAATGTTTTATTTGATTTGATTACATGCAATTTTGATATAGTTATATTTTGTAAATATATGTAGGACTTGGCTTGCAATCCAGAGTTTGGCTGCTTCTATAATTAATTATAGTCCTAATATGAATTACTTGTGTGAACCAATTTTGATGTGCATGTGATCCTTTTCAAATATTTTCACAAGAAAGAGAAAAATAGGAGGGAATTAGAGATGGAGAGGAGAGAATTAGAGAAGGAGAGGAGAGAAAGAGGAAAGGTTAGAAAGAGAGAAGGAGAGAAAGAGAGGCATCACCTGAGATCAAATACAAGGCAGCAAGATTTATAGATGAGAACACTACTGATGCATCACAGATGCATCTGCAGTGTTCTCACGCACACACAAACACACACACAGACAGAAAGACAGACAGACAGACAGACAGACAGACAGAGACAGACAGACAGACAGACAGACAGACAGACAGACAGACAACAGACAGACAGACAGACAGACACACAGACAGACAGACACACAAAGACAAACAGACAGACAGACACAGACAGACAGAGATGGATGGACAGACAGAGACAGACTGACTAACTGACTGACTGACTGACTGACTGACTGACTGAAGAGAGAGAGAAAGAGAGAAAGAGAGAGAAAGAGCATCTCTTTATGCCTCCTGTCCTTCATAGAGTAAGTCCTTTACAAAGTGAAAACATATATACTCTGTATGGCACTGACCTATAACTCAAAAAGTGACTCAGATGATGATACGGTTTAGAATAGTTAAGTTAGATAGAGAATTGCTTTTGAAATTATCTTTTTATGTGCTTTTTATCTTTAAACAGTAACCACCTGTCCCAGTCCTTTGATCTTTGTTGTATTGGGGGGAGGGCTTCTGCTTGTTGTATGTGTGGGGGGGAATACGGAAGCGCTGACTAAGACTCAATGTAGGGGACCACCTCTCCCTTGGACCTCAGTTTGGGAGGTGGTGACTGAGGCCCAGTGTATGGGACTTCCCCTGCCTTGGACCTCAACCCTCGTCTCAACTAATTTTACATGGTCTTTTCTCCTCCCCCTTTTCTTGTACTTCTCTTTGTCCCCTTCTTCTGTCCACTTCCAAAGATTTGAGAACCTTGCTGAAAGGATGAAAGGCTGATTTTGTGTCAATTTGTTATTCACTTGGTATTGCCTAGCCCTTACCCTTTATAGGAACCCTGACAGGTAGACCATTTTTCTCCCCACTTATATTTGGCTCGCCATGACCAATAATGATTTTTTTAGCCATATTAGTGGCATTAAGGATTGCCCTTTCATCAACTAGTGTATCTAAATTTGATTTCACTAGTTTCCTGATCCCTGCCTCTCCTTTGACCATGGCTCCAACCTCTGAGATTAGTAATCCCTCAATGATGTTTGCTGACAACTCTATCCATCCCGAACCACCCACTCAGGTTATTACTCAACCCCCCCACCCTCTTCCTCCTACCCTCTTCTTTTAGATGTTTCCTTCTCTACAAACCTTTTGAGTACTCTCTTTAGCCCAGCTAAGTGAGAATGATTCTTTGTGATTCACCCTGCAGCCCCTTAATCTGACAATACCCTTCTCTTCCAAAAATGTCTCCAAAAACAAGTAGGTAAAGTTTCCTTTCACAGTTATTCCAATTCCAATTGCTCATGCCTTATCACAGTTATATGTGAATTGCAAGATCATTCACTATCAGCTCTTACTGACCTCACTGGTAAACCTATGCCTACAGAACCTCACTCCTCTCTTAATTCTTTGGATCCAGTTGCATCATGGAAATCACAGTGCTAAAAACCCTGGCAATGGGTTATATAAGTGGCCAACATCCCAGTCGTGCAGCGGTGACAAGACTCTGTGCCTCCCCTTTGCAAAGTTATTTTTTGTAAACTTTTTTTTAGCTTCATCGCATTTTTCCAATGTCCATATTCATCTTTTATAATTGCTTATCTTCCTTGCACAGACTCCAAATCATCTCTCCATGTAGTAAATAACTCAGTGCAAAAAAAAAGAAAAGATATGGAACATTTGGTTATTTGTATCATATATCTATTTTTTTCATAATTTTCAATTTTATGTAGTACAACATGCGCCGCTGATCCCATCGTCCAGGAATATGGTGCGCAGCATGAAAATGGTGTCCTCCCAGGAGCTGGTGCTCTTTCAGTCACTGCTTACGCACGTTACATTCCAAATTTGTTTATTTGCTCATGACGACAAGATTTGTCATCCAGCCTGTGGCCAGATTGTCCGATTGATGGCATGTTCACATCTCCTGCCCCTCAGCTTAAGTTTTTCTATGATGTGACCACAACGTCATCCGGGTCCAATGTGTTAAACTCAAACTGTTTCAATCTCCCAAGCTGATTGTCCTATCTACAATAAGAACTGGTTAGACTGACCTACTTGCCTGCTTTGTTGACTATGATGCTGTAGCAGTACAGTGCTATGCTATTCCTCTTAGAGGGCAGTGTTAATCCTACACCAATATTGCTAAGATTAGCTTCCATAGACATGACCTCATCCATAAGGTTTTTACTAGTGAAGCCGACCGTGTTGACTTTTTCCTTGTCACTGTCAGAAATGTTGGTGTTTTTACCCAGCTAAACACTATCGCTCCACAGCCCACTGCCCTCCGTGTGTCCACCCTGGTCATGGACGTTCAATTTGTTTGCTCAGTCATGTACACATGGCAATTGTGGTGGTATTTTATAGGAGCTGCCCTACGTACAATCTCAAATGTCTGGTAGTAGTTCTCAGATTCAAACTAGGCATCACGAAGAAGCATGGGGAGAAAGTTTTTCTGTCTCTACCTATTCTAAGACTATTCTTCACTCTACTCCCCTCCCATCTTCTCAAGATGTCTCAGCATCTCCCCCAGTATCTCTTCCCTTTACCCTGAACCATCCTATATCTACTTCCCCTCTTCCCCAATCAAATTCCTTTTCCAATCTTAAACTAGATACTCCAATCTATACCACTTCCCTGATGCTTACCCCTCCCACCCCTCCTCCTCCTCAAGTTACCTGTTGCACCAGGCAGCCAAATAGTTCTTCTCTATCTTCTCCTACCACATTCTATCCTATGCCCTCCTCTTCCTTAAGTCCATGGACACATATCCCATCTTCTGCTTGTTAACACATTTTAATTCTTTTCTCCACAATACTTTACCATTGTGCTATATGACCTAGATGTCTAGCACAGTTGTTAGTTGTTTGTTTTTAACCATTAATCATTAAAGATTTAAACATCATCTGTTATTGATTATGGTATAGTGCATTGTATCACAAGTTTTTATACTTTTTTCTCTTGTTTCAGACTTTGGCTTCAGTAATTTCTATACTCCTGGTGTTTTATTATCAACATGGTGTGGCTCACCTCCTTATGCTGCTCCAGAACTTTTTGAAGGCAAAGCATATGATGGCCCAAAGGCAGATATATGGGTGAGTATTTTTTTTTTTTTTCTTCTTCTTCTTTTCTTTATACAGAGTAAATAGGTGGACACCTTATCTGTATTACTGAAGAGCCCTTTTGATATGGTAATGCTTCTGTTGGTGTCCTCCTTTTTGGTATATCTTGTGGATCTTCATACAAATGGACTGGTGGGGATCACGCTGATAATTTTGTCATTTTTATTTTTTACCCATTAGCGATGGGTGTCTCATATATGAGACCCGAAAAAATAAACATTGCTGGGCGTCCCGCCAGTGTGACGCTGTGTTGGGGCTCATGCTCCAATGCAGTAGTGGGCCGCGGCCGGCGGGCGGACAGACTCTGGGGAAGCTCTGCCCGCCGATTTTGTAGCCGCCTGGAATATTTTATTTTTGGCTTCAAAATATACCGGCGTGAATAGGTTAAGGGGGGGGATGTAAAGGTTACCAAAGCATCTCTGTGATAGCTAGGATCCATTATAAAAGAGTTGGT